TTTCTGCTTTAAAGTGAATCAAATTTTTCAGCTAATGGAAAAATATAAATTAGGACCGATAATGTTCCAATTCACTTACACGCACTTAATATTTTATCCATGAAAATACGTGTTTCAACAAATTTTTTATAACAAAATTTCTGTGGTCTTGTTTTCACTATTCAGTATATAGTAGATGTATGTAAAAGTATGAAAGTCACAATAGTAACGAGATGTAACATGACTTTCGAACAAATACTGTTACATCGACATCTCGGAACACTCAGATGTCATGTTATCATCTGTTCTTTTTCTTTTCTTGTTAAATGGAGAGGAGGTGGAAAGATTCATGGTACGATGACAGAATCCCGGTAGTGACAATTTGTTCCAACTTAGTTCATACGCTGCTCTAATTAAACATCATTTAATTCTGCTGCGATCTCTCCGATTGAACAATACATTTGAAATACCGCCAGGGAATGGGAACAGATGTATCAACAATAATTTTCTTATACTTTCCTGAAATATGACTCGGGATCATAATAGCGTTAACCCTTATATATATAATATAAGGGTTATAATAATATATTTATATTAATTTTATAATAATAATATACATAATAATTATATATTATATATATAATTATTATTATAAAATTAATATAAATATATTATTATAACCCTTATATTATATATATAAGGGTTAACGCTATTATGATCCCGAGTCATATTTCAGGAAAGTATAAGAAAATTATTGTTGATACATCTGTTCCCATTCCCTGGCGGTATTTCAAATGTATTGTTCAATCGGAGAGATCGCAGCAGAATTAAATGATGTTTAATTAGAGCAGCGTATGAACTAAGTTGGAACAAATTGTCACTACCGGGATTCTGTCATCGTACCATGAATCTTTCCACCTCCTCTCCATTTAACAAGAAAAGAAAAAGAACAGATGATAACATGACATCTGAGTGTTCCGAGATGTCGATGTAACAGTATTTGTTCGAAAGTCATGTTACATCTCGTTACTATTGTGACTTTCATACTTTTACATACATCTACTATATACTGAATAGTGAAAACAAGACCACAGAAATTTTGTTATAAAAAATTTGTTGAAACACGTATTTTCATGGATAAAATATTAAGTGCGTGTAAGTGAATTGGAACATTATCGGTCCTAATTTATATTTTTCCATTAGCTGAAAAATTTGATTCACTTTAAAGCAGAAA